TTAGGATTGGTTTTAGGGTTTAGGGTTTAGGGGTTAGGGGTTAAGGGTTTAGGGTTTAAGGTTTAGGGTTTAGGGTTTAGGGGTTTAAGGGTTTAGGGTTTAGGTTTTAGGGTTTAGGGTTTTTGGCTTACGGTTCAGGGTTTAGGGTTCAGGGTTTAGGGTTCTGGGTTTAGGGTTTAGGGTTTAAGATTCGGGGTTTAGGGTTCAGGGTTTAGGGTGCATTAAGGGACAATAGGAGGGACCCCTAGAAGGGACACCAAATCCAAATACCCTATATAACTCGTATATACCCCTTGTATAGTCTCATAAAGCCCCTATAGAACTCCAAGGGTCCCTTCAAGGGTCCCTCCTGTAGTCCCTTGAGTTCAGGGTTTAGGGTTTTGGGTTTTGGGCTTTCTGATTTGAAGTTTAGGGTTTAGGGTTGGGGTCCTTACCGGGTTACCGATCCGAGCTCCTTGGAGGGTCGGGGACTTAGTAAGTAGCGAACGTTCTTCTTATCAACCTTAATACGGAATGTACATGGACCCTACAAACAAGGTAATCTAGGGGCCTTCATAATTACCGATACTATTGTGGGCATTCCTTCTTTAATTTGAGAAGAATAAATACAAGCCAAAGCCGTATTGTAATTATTCAGGCCCCTAAACCCCTAAACCCTAAACCCTCAAACCCTGAAGCCTAAAGGTATTCGTGGGTTAAGGGCTTCTTTTGAAGGCTTTTTTGGGCCCCCAAGGCTCCTTCCTGGGCTCCTCTCAAGGGGTCCTGTCTTTTAGGGGCTTGGGTTTAGGGTTTAGGGTTTAGGGTTTAGGGTTTAGGGTTTAGGGTTTAGGGTTTAGGGTTTAGGGTTTAGGGTTTAGGGTTTAGGGTTGAGTGATGTCTTCTTTCGGTGTTTAGGGTTTGAACTGTTTTGAGAAGGGGATTTTGTTTGCACTCCGTTAAGGGTTCCCTAGGGCTCCTTTCAGGGTTCCTGTCTTTTCGCTTATCTCGTGGGCCTTTGGTTTTGAAGGAGAGGGTTAGTGTCTGGGGTGTCAGGGTCTAGGGTTTGGGGTTTGGTGGTTAGCTTTAGGGTTTAGGCCTTAAGGAACTTAAAGGGTTTTGGGCGTACTTGGAGGGTCGGGGGACTTGGTAAGTAGGGAATCAGTAGACTTATAAGTACCCTAAAAGGGATCCGCATTGGGATTATGGTACTTATAAGTCTACTTTTTACCTGCTTTCTGGGTCCCCCGACCCTTTTAAGTAGGGGGTACCAACAGCAAGTAGGCTTCCAAAGAGCAGCGCCAGCTGTTTTCGCATTCTTTCGCCAGCCTGCAAATGTGCGACAAAGATGGTAACCCAGACCTCCGGAAGGATCTCCCCTAATTTGGGACCCTATGCTACTAAGGGTCTTCATAGGAACCCCCCTTAAGGGATCTACTTTTTGGGATCCTTCCGGGGGTCTGGGAAGGAACACCTAAACTCCAAACCCCAAGCCCTCAAGAAACTCAAACCCGAAACTCCAAGCCCCTAAAGGTCTGCCAAAGTCTAAGCCTTAAAGCCTATATACACAGAACGCCGTAGAGGAGCCCTCAATTTGTATCCGACATGCAGAACTGGAAATTAGGGTTTAGGGGTTCAGGGTTTACGGTTTAGGGTTTGGGGTTTAGGGATTCCGAAGGGTTGGAACTTAACTGCAGTCCGAGGTGCCCAGAGCGCCAATAACCCGTAACTTACGGTAGACCCGAACTCCGGAAACTTAAAGGCCAAAGCTCAAAGGCCGTAATCTTCCCTGAAGTCATAATGAGGGACTTACCTCTTCTTTGGGTGGTTGTTACCTTTGAGGGTTTTTGCTCGTTTATACAAGTGCCTTCTGAAGCGAGTAGAAAGAAGCCCCCTATAGTTTTGGAGAGGGTGTTGCATAAATCACCCAGACCTCGTAGAGGATCGTAGGTACCCCTTAAAGGGTACCCCTTCTGAACCCTACTTTTGGCTCTCTTAAAAGGGACCTTGCTGAGAGGGTCTATATCCCCAAGGGTCCCCCTAATCCAAGCTCCCAGATCTGGAAGGTAGATAACTTAAGCGGCTTTGGGTACAATACTTCCTAAACCTTAAACTCTGTCCTTAACTCTAACCCCTAATCCCTAACCGCTACACCCGAACTACGGCTGATGACATAAATCCTGCATTACCCATAGTAAGGAATGTACCATAATACCCATGTTTCAGGGTCGTTCAGGTAATGCAGGATTCCTATCATCAACACTACTTGTTCTACTGGGTTTGAATTTGGGGTATTCTGGGCGACCCCTAAATCCTAAACCTTAAACCCAAAGCCCCTTCCAGTCCGGCAGGTGTGCGCCGTGTGCAAGGAGATCTGCGTGGGTGTCGTTGCCTAGACCCCAACCCTAAGTCCTGCCTGGACCCTAAAAAACCTATCCTTCTAGGGTTTCTTAACGTGCCTTGTACAAGTGTCAAAATACGTAGCCCTAAGGGTCCAAAGGACCTTATAATCATATACTTCCCTGAGGGTCCGAGACTGCGCAGAGAGAGGTCTTGGTGTGAATCATGCTGAAAGTAGTATTATGCCCCTACGCGACCTCAGGTTGTTAAGACCTTGCTGGGGGACATATAATCTTTATAACGGTTGATGGATAGCCATGCAGGCCATGTGCTTCATCCTTCGCAGCCAGAGCTATCTTCGTTTGCGTACATTCGGTTTAAGATTGTGCAGATCAAGCGTACACACGCAGACTTGACTGCAGCATTAGATCAGGTGGCCCGATGTCTGATCACGGGTGTGGCTGAAGTGTTGCTGCCATAGCTTTCTGGGTTCTCCATTCGATTCGAATCCGGATCAGGTACATGGTTCGAAATTCTAAAATTTTTAGCTCGAGCTCGAGCAGCCATGATCCGAGCATCGTTGCTGTTCCGCAAGCGCAACCAGAAGGCCAGAGGTGCACCCCCCTCTTTGCCAGAAGTTACATGCAGCCTGCTGCTTGTGCACGAGATTGCAAAGTTGCACAGCATAATGATGCATGGGTACATGTGGTCTTCGCACGTTGTGTTTATTGTTGCCTCTTGCTCGAGGGCTTTTTTTGTACGCTGCACACAAGGTGCAGGTGAAGGGCTCAGGTCTAGGTCCATGGCTCGTGCTTTGCAAGACCGGCGGTTTTCGCAGCCACTGAAGTACTTCTTAACGGAATCTTATCTGCATATTTGGGACTTGTAGGGCGCCTGCACGCATCCCAAATTTAAATGAGCTCCGCGATTGATCAATCAGGATGGCGCCGAAGCGATCGTCAATGGCCTTCGGCCGATCGTCGAAGGCAAGCTTGCAAGCTTTCGTGCTCCGGATTCTGAGCCACGGCATGCATTAGTCGCCGTCGATCATATACATGCGTATGTGCATGCATCGAAGTTTAAATCGAGGCTCTGCAGGTGGTGAAGGTTCGTGATCCTGCGGACGGGGAAACCTCGAACAAGGTTATGTGGCAAGCATCGATTGTGTGAGTTGTGTGCACATGCATATACATATATTACGGCTTGTTTCGAAGGTTGGCGAGCAAGACATCTTGCTGAACTTCGACTTGCTGAAGTCGTATGTGGTGCACGTCGTGAGTTCTAAGGGCATCCCCACTCTCAGTGACCACAAGGCCCGGTCTAACTGATAGCGATAGCGTTTTCATATGTTAACGAATTCCGAATCGTGCTGCATGAGCTAGCTTCGACTTGCGTGGGAAGGTAGCCTTCACGCACATATCTTCGACCTACAGCTTGCACCCCAACGTGCGGACGAAACGGGGTGGCAAGGCGGAGGTGAAGGAGCCCGTCTGCATATATTACCAGGGACCCCCCTTATCATGATAGCGATCCCATGCAGGAATGGGCCCATCTGGAGGCACTGAAGCTGAGATCGCTCGTTGGTGCCTTGCAACGCCTCGCACGTCGCACGCTCGATGCGAAGATGCCCGCTTGAACATATTTTTTGTCGGTATCATGCATGCGCTATATCAGCATCATGATCGAACAATTTGGGGTCTGAGGCATACGAAGATGATGATCCTCAAGAGGCTGTTCGCCGTGCAAATGCTGTGGATCCGTGACGAGCCGGAACGTGCTACTGTCGACGAGTCCGAGGACAGAGGCCATGCCCTGGTACCCGCCGATGAAGCGGATGCCGAGGATGATTCCGAGCGTGATGCTGACGAACCCGATGCGATCGTTGATTCGGGGCATGATTCCGAACCCGATGCGAGCAACGATTCGGGGCATGATTCCAAACCCGATGCGGGCAACGATTCGGGGCATGATTCCAAACCCGATGCGGGCAACGATTCGGGGGCTGATTCTTGCTATCAATACCTATGATATTAATTGTTTGGTTTGCAAATTAAACCGTTTGAGTCGTACTAGACTCACGAGTAGGCTTTTTGCACCTCCGATCCTGATTCCATCTCGGAAGCTTTGGGTGAAACTTGTCGCACTGCTACATCTACCAGCACTTGCACTTGTCGAGTCTCGGGTTTATCACTGGGGTCTCAGAAACTAAATCCCATGGCCAACTGCTACTACTAGTACTACTACTGCTACTACTACTACTACTACTACTACTACTACTGCTACTACTACTACTACTACTACTACTACGTATACCACTACTACTAGTACAGTGCTATGCTACAGCTACTGCTAGCGCTAGTACTATATATAGCTAGTACGCTACTTGCTACTTGTATACTAGCTATACCGCTACCGCTA